CAAATAGACCTCCATATACACTATCTATAATATCCACAGTTGATCCAGAGGAAGCCACAAAAAAAACAAAAAAGCTTGATCAAATTTGTTCCAGCGGGGGCAAAAATTCCTTCCTGATCCTCCAAGAGGCAATCAGATATTCCCTGGATCAACTTTACCTATAAATATTAGTATCCAGTTACATTATGTGCATTTAGGAAATAATCCATGCCTTTCTTAAAACAATCTACCAAGCTGGCCAGAACTGGCTCTTGAGGGGGTATATTCCACATTTTCACAACTCTTACTGTGAAGAAGCCTTTCCGTGTTTGGAGATTAAACCTAGCTCTACACCTAGTTCACTATATATCCCCCTTAATCTCCTCTTCTCAGGAAAGAATACATTCAATTCCTCTAATCTTTCCTCATAGCTGTGCTCCTTCATGCCTCTTATCAGTTTGGTTCCCCTTTTCTGCACTTTCTCCAGTTCCCCAATGTTCTTTTTGTGCATTAGTGCCATTCAACTTCAACTTTCAGAGGGATGTCCTCAATTTCTTACCTTGCTGGACACACTTTAACCACTTCCCGTCCGGCTCATGTACATAAACAGCCGGAAGGGAGCAGTGCAGGAGCAGGTGCAGCACGGCGATCTGGTGCCCGCTGTGAACACCGATCGATGTACGGGACCTCTGTGTGAGGTCCCGATCATGTGATCACTGATTGTCCAATCAGTGATCACATGAATAGTAGTAAGCAAGATATCACTTCCTGACATAATTGCTTACTACGTGTGAAATCTGTGGATGATAACAGAGGTCACATGGTACAAGGCTATTCACAACAGCCTTGTGCCATGTGACAAGCTGTGACCAATCACAGCTCTCACAGTATTTCTCAATGGTTGCAAGAATGCAGCCAGAGAGAAGGAGAAATGATTGCTTTTACAGCATTTATGTTGTCAGCTATGGCCAATCACAGCTAATCACATGTGCACAGCCTTTCAAAGCAGTGTGCACGAGCTGACAGGGAGGAGAACTATGTTCGTGAATCACCGGGCGTCGGCAAGTAATCCTGTGACCCAGTGATTGACAGCCGTGAATGTTGGCGCGGGTAGGCCGCACACGCCCCCTACCCAGAAATGCAAAATCAGATATATACGTGTGATTTTGCACACCCATGCCACCCTGTAGCAGTATATCTGCTATAGGGCAGTCGGGAAGCGGTTAAATGAAGCAATCCATTGTTTACAATTATTATAGTGATTGGTCACAGCAGGTCACATGGTACTGGCAACAGGCTGGTTCACAGATCTGTCATCTGCTGTGTCCGAGGTACACAGCCGGTGACAGATCTCGCCACAGTGCAGCCCCATGGGCACATGCGCTGCATGAGCCGAGAAGGACGTCATATGATGCCCACCCAGATCAACAAGATCATTCTATTATTGGCCGGGCAGGAACACGCTAAGCAGAATGCCTTAGCATTTGCCTCAACAAAAAAGTAGTTATCTGTCTAATTTTCCTTGAACAATCTTTCCTTCAACAATTTTGCTGCAGTTCAAACTGAGCAACAGAATGGGGAGTAAAGGGGATTTAAGTGACTTTGAATGTGGCATGGTTGTTGCCAGACAGGCTGGTCTGAGTATTTCAGAAACTGCTGATCTACTGGGATTTTCATGCACAACCATCTCTAGGGTTTACAGAGAATGGTCCAAAAAAGAGAAAATATCCAGTGAGCGGCCGTTGTGTGGATGAAAATGCCTTGTTGATGTCAGAGGTCAGAGGAGAATGGACAGACTGGTTCAAGATAATAGGAAGGCATCTGAAATCTGGGGGGTGGGGTGTACCCTCCGTGATACAGCCATGTGTATTTACCTGAAGCTACCCCGGAGTCTCTGCATTCACTGCTAGCAATGCTATTACAAAATCAGCAGCCCCGGCATCCCTCCAGTCGTGCCTGTGTCTGGAATCTCAGTGCTGGCTCCTGTGGCTGCTATGCTTGCATGGCATCCCAGGCATCCCTCTTTATGTGTCTATGCCTAGTTTGTCCATGCTGGCTGCTGTTGCTTATTGACATCCCTCCAGAAATGCCCGGGCTGCATGTTGAACTCTCTGGGGTCACATGTGGGTTGCACACCCCTGATTTAATGTTTACCCGATTAAAAAAAAGTCAACAATGGGGTGTGCTTACGTTTTCAAGTTATTAAACCAAAGTATGGCTGGCTTAGGCAATCCATAGATATTTTGCAGAAATAAAAGATAACCAGACACTCCCATTCTGGGGAGGTTATTTGCACTAGCACTGTGGTAGCTTACCCTTGTGTCTAGATTTTTGTGTTTCATGTTACAAGACATTCAGAGACCAACATTCCACAGTTTCACATAGCTAAGATGGAAAGAAACTTGATCCAGCTACTAGGAAAACTCATCTGGATTGTGCTGAAAGCCAAAAACAATGCAGCACATGTTTTCTGCATTTTACAAATGACTTGTACATTTTGTTTACACTAGCTGCATTAGCAGCATTCACAAGTTGTACATGCCTGAAGGAAATTCAGTTCTTAAAGATCAACTCCAGGCAGAAATTGCAATACATAAATATCAGTTATGTTTTATTTAACCATTTCAAGTCCAGACACTTTCACCCCCTTCCTGCCCAGGCCAATTTTCAGCTTTCAGTGCTATCACACTTTGAATTACAATTGCGTGGTCATGCAACACTGTACCCATATGAATCTTTTAGCATTTTGTTGAGACAGATAAAACCTTATTTTGGTGGCATTTATTCACCACTGGGATTTTTATTTTTTTTGCTATATAAATTAAAAAGTCCAAACGTTTTGAAAAAAAAAAGTGTTTTTCTTATAAAAGTTTGCAAATAAATAATCTTTCTTCATAAATCTTGGCCAAAATGTATTCAGCTATCTTTTTAGTAAAAAAAAAATAACCCAAATTAGTTTATAACCAAAAATTTAAATGTTGAAATTTTTTTTTTAATTTTTATTTTTTTTATATTACTATTTTTTTTTTTTAACATACTGTCACCCTAGCAGTACAGTGTCACCATAATGTGAGGGGTGATGAAGATTTATATTTTTACACTGATTGCTTTTACACCCATAAAGGCTGTAAAAGCAATAATTTCTCCTTCTCTCTGGCTGCATTCTTGCAGCCATTAAGAAATACTGTGAGAGCTGTGATTGGTCACAGCTTGTCACGTTACAAGGCTGTTGTGAATAGCCTTGTACCATGTGATCTCTGTGATCATTCACAGATTTCACACGTAGTAAGCAATGATGTCAGAAGTGACATCTTGCTTACTAGTTTTCATGTCACTGATTGGGGAATCAGTGATCACATGATCGGGACCTCACACAGAGGTTCCGTACAGCGAACGGTGTGCCGCTGTGTCCACCGGATCGCGGTGCAGCACACTCCCAGGGGGCGCACACAGGCAGGAAAGCAGGAGGACATTTATAAACGGCCACCCACTCCTGCACTGCTCCTGTCCGGCTGTTTATGGGAAGTGGTTAAACATTATTACACGTATTTTAAAAACACCACAATAGTACCGTGCCGTATTCTAATAGCCATCAATTAATCCAAAAAGTTTGGAGTTTAGGTGATACGGTTTATTCGCCAATTGTGTTTTGTTTTGTTTGTCAAATTAATTAATGGTAATAGTTTAGACAAACACCATAGTAGCTCACAAGTACACTCATTTATTAGTTAATTTTTACTGTTTTTCAGTGCATTCTGGGCATATTGGAAGGTCTCCTAACGTTATCTTTAAAAAACGCTTCGAAACGCAAACGCTCATAAATGCGCATAAACGCAGTATGCAAACGCGGCTAAACAGACGTTTTTTAACCTACGTTTTCCAACAGTCAGTTTCCATCGTTCAGAAGTGTTTTCCAAGGTCCCATGTATGGAGCCTAAGAGGTTTTAGATACAGGCCCGCCTGAACACACTCACACACTGGGTAGCCTTTTTTCATTGGACTGCTGGATAAAAGGTTGATTTTTTTCAGGGTGCAGCTTAGGCACAATTACAATTGCTAAATGTTCCCTATAACATAAATCTAAACTTTTTTGAGATTCAGTCCATTCCAAACTGTACAATAATACAGAAGAAATGTGTTCTTCATAGGAATACCTGTAACACACTTGGAAAGACAAAGTATTACAAACAAGGTCACAGTCCAAATGTCTTTATATCCAGCTCATTTTGTCTGATTTCCAAGGAAGGAGTAAAGAATTAAGATCCATGGGTTGATTTAATAAAACTGGAGAGTGCAAAATCTGGTGCAGCTGTGCATGATAGCCAATCAACTTCTAACTTTAGCTTGTTCATGTAACCTCCCTAGCTGTCTGGTTATGTCCATATTTCTGTGCTTAAAGCAGTACATTTTTTTGCATGGAAAAATACGTATTTTTTTTTATTGTAGGTCTGTAATTTTTAGGAAAAACTCACTGAAATCTGTCCGAACAAGAGTCTAGTAAACATCCTGGGTATGTTAAAGTTTGAAACACGAAATCATAAATTATAATTTAATAAATAATCATAAAAAATAATAATATAATTTATTATTTATTTATTGCAGGTACTTATATAGCGCCATCAATTTACACAGCGCTTTACATATTGTGCATTCACATCAGTCCCTAACCCTCATGGGTGTACTTATAATAATAAACTTAATTAAATAATATAATCAAACCAAAAACACTGAAATTGTAAATATAGCGCCAAGTTCGCACATCACTGAGCAAAGTCGCAAAATCGTTTTCAGTGTCTGATGACGAATTTCCCCACGAATCATTATCACTCAATTCTGCAAGTGGTTCTGATTTACTATCGCTGTTCTCTAGCCGGTCTAAAACCGCTTTTGACCTAAAGGGACGCTTTTTGGACGCCATGGACATTTCTCAGTTTCCAGGCAGTAAAAAATGCAGGCAGGGCATAGGACAAAGCACTCGGGACAAAATGTATGTGAAATGCTTTGATACAGTAATATTATACTATGTGATTTTTAGTGAATTTCCCGCCAGTTCCGTCCCCCGTATGTCCTGACGTTGCAGGGAACAGAACCCAGAAGACAGATGCCTGCATCCGCCGGAGGACATTGCAGGGGACACTGCAGGAGGGACACGACAAGGTAAGTGCAGAAGGGATCCCGAAGCAGCGCTGCAGGGTATTTCCGAGTGTAGCTCGGGGTTACCGCTTGTGGTGTTGAAACTTTACCCCGAGCTACACTCGGGAATACCTCCAGGGAAGTCATTGCCCCATACACACGATAAGAAAATCGTCCGAAAAATTTAGCGGAACCACTGATCGAACAATTTTCTCTTCTTTGATGAGCAGGATGTTTTAACCGATAACGATATTGTGAATGAAAAAATCCAGTTGAACAACAGTGAAAAATTTTGTCATTTTGCATACAAACGACCGATTTTCTATGCGGTGGTATGACGGTCGTACAAAAAAAATCTATCAAGCGCTATCACGCATGAGCGGAAACAGAAGATGACCCGGATGTTTATGTCCAAGGAATCTTCGTAAACACAAACAAAAAATCCAAATGTTAAAAGTAGATTGGCCTAATGAGATAATGAAACCAGAATTCTGCATATTATATTTTATGTATCACTATTTATGTATATAGATAATGTAATAAACTATATTATACTCATTGCTGGTAATATCGCTCGTTCTGGCCGGAAGGGCGTGGCTACAAGGTCACATGCACACTGCGTCACTTCCACTTGTATGGAAGAAGTTAACACTATGCATTGCCATACAAACGATTTTTGTAGATTGGTTAATGTGGACCACGATTTTTCGACCAACGAACGAACACCTCTCGGTCGTCAGATGACCGATCGATCGATTTTTTTAATCGTGTATTCCCACCTTAAGCTTTGACAATAAAACCTGGAAGCTGATTGGTTTCAATGCAGAGCTGCACCAGATTTTGCACTCTCCAGTTTTAGTAAATAAACCCCATGGTCTTTTTAATGACTCTCTTCTCTGTTAGACATGGAACCAAATTTATTATTAAAACTCTGTTCAGATATGTGCCGGCATGTTTACTCACGCATGTCACTTGTACAGCAGCCCTTTAATTTCAATGTGACGTCATATCTGCAAGAAACAGAGAGAATGAAGTCTGCAACCCTTTTTTATTTAAATTACTGAGCACTGAGCGACATGGTGCTGCAGTACCATGTAGTTTGGTGTGCATGAAAAACAATGTATCGGAGTGCAATTAAGAACTAATGGCACTTCTGGAATGTCTGCTAAAATGTAGAGCGTTTCTCTGGAGGTCAGAAATTCGTGCAATTTCTTGAGTGTTCTCCACCCACAGATATGTATTGCCATCAACGCACTTACAAACCCGATAAAAATGTGTTACTCAAGAAAAATGAATCACTAAGACTTTAAAAGTGTTACTAAAATCTGGAACAGTAAAATCAGTCTGTATATGCAGTAAAGCATGCTTGTTATACTCACTGTGGAACTTGCATTAAGGGGTTAATCCTCTGCATTGTGTAAAAAGGCTGTTTGATCCTGACTTCTCTGATCCTCCCCTTCTTCCATGTTCCCCATTTCATCTCCTTATAGAACACAGCCTCAGGAACACTCTGTACATGCTCAGTTTGGTGTGTATTGCTAGAGAGTTTTTTTTTTTTCTTGGGAGAGTGCATGTGTTCAGCACAAGACTAATCAGCACTGTCCAGAGAGAGGGTCAGGGGTGATGCAATCTAATAGGGCAGTGAAAGGAGAATGAAAACACCTCCTACAAGCTTTAACCAGTGCTCAGCTGGACACTGATAGAAGTCTCTAGACTGCTCTAACTGCTGATGAGCAGGGGTATATTTACCACAAGGCAAACAAGGCATTTGTCTAGGGCAGCATTTTTTAGGGGGGCAGCACTGTCTCCCTGAAGAAGGGACATGTGCTGCATGGGGATCAGGTGAGAACTGAGAGAGGCTGTGGGCTGCTTGATTGTGTATGCAGAGCCCAACTGTCATTCCTGGGGATGGCCAGAGTCGCTGGGGGGGGGGGGGGGGGGGTTTGTTAGTGGAAGGCTCTCGGGGGGGGGGGGGGGGGGGGGGGGGGGGACGGGGGGGGGAGAGAGGGGGCAGGGGTGTTGTTGGTCACTGTCAGGCTGTCTCCAGCAGAGAGAGGTGGGGAATCCCAATTTTTGTGTTCCTTAGGGCAGCACAAAACCTAAATATACCACTGCTGATGAGAAAAGGTATTTAGTAGTTTATATTTACTAAAATAATTGCATTTCCATGTTCTGTGTACTTTGGGAGACCAGATAGAGTGAATGCAGGGTCCTGGGTTTAGTAACACTTTTAAAGTTAAACTTTGCTCTATCAATCAACAGTAACTATTTTTAATCCTTATGCTGCTAGCATTAGTAACTAGATAGGAAGGTATAATATATTTACAGTGGATATAAAAAGTCTACACACCCCTGTTAAAATGTCAGGTTTCTGTGATGTAAAAAAATGAGACAAAGATAAATCTTTTCAGAAATTTTTCAAACTTTAATGTGACCTATAAACTGTACAACTCAATTGAAAAACAAATTGAAATCTTTTAGGGGGGGGGGGGGGGGGTAAACATAAAAAAAACTAAAATAACACGGTTGCATAAGTGTGCATACCCTCTTATAAATGGGGATGTAGCTGTTTTCAGAATTAGGCAATCACATTCTAAATCATGTTAAGTAGGAGTCAGTACACACCTACCATCATTTAAAGTGCCTCTGATTATCCCCAAATAAAGTTCAGCTGTTCTAGTAGGTCTTTCCTTACATATTCTTATGCAGGCCATAGACGGGGAGAAAAACGGCCGATTTTTCTTTTAAAAAATGAAAAATCGGTCGTTCAAGCGGCCGACGTTACCAGCAATGGTAAAACAAAATCGGCCGATTTTCATCCCGTCTACAGCCGGCAAAAAGTGTCCCTGCAGAGAGCTCTGCTATTTCTTTGACAGTTCCTTGACATTTACAGCGGTTGCAACAATGTATCTATTTGTATCAATTTAGGATACAGATGTTTTTATTCGGAAACAAATAGATACAATGTTGCAACCGCTGTAAATGTCAAGGAACTGTCAAAGAAATAGCAGAGCTCTCTGAAGGGACACTTTTTGCCGTACTGGAATAACTCTTCTTCTTCTTCTTCTTCCTCTTCCTCTTCCTCTGCTTCCTCTTCTTCTTCTTCCTCTTCTTCATCATCATCATCCTCTTCTTCTTCTTCTTCATCATCATCCTCTTCTTCTTTTTCTTCTTTTTGTCTTCCTCTTGCAGGTCACTGCTCATGCGCAGATTTTTTTCGGTAAAAAAATTTCGGCCGATTTGCCCATCATTGCCGCGAAAATTGGTCGATCGGCTCACGCGCCGATTTTTTTCCAACTTTACCGATAAAAAAAATCTGCCAAAAAATCGGCTGAACAAATAGCCCATTAACGATCCGAAAATCGGCCGATTTTATTTTTGGCCGAAAAATAGGCCGATTTTCGACCCATCTATGGCCTGCATTAGTCCTTATATCCTACAACAAAAGCCATGGTCTGCAGAAAGCTTCCAAAGCTTCAGAGGGATCTCATTGTTAAAAGGTATCAGTCAGGAGACGGGTACAAAAGAATTCCCAAGGCATTAGATATACCATGTAACCCAGTGAAGACAGTCATCATCAAGTGGAGAAAATATGGCACAACAGTGACATTACCAAGAACTGGACGTCCCTCCAAAATTGATGAAAACGCAAGAAGAAAAACTGGTCTGGGAGGCTGCCAAGAGGCCTACACCAACATTAAAGGGGCTGCAAGAATATCTGGCAAGTACTGGCTGTGTGGTACATGTGACAACAATCTCCTGTATTCTTCATATGTCTGGGCTATGGGGTAGAGTGCCGAGATGGAAGCCTTTTCTTATGAAGAAAAACATCCAAGCCCAGCTAAATTTTGCAAAAAGCATGTGGAAAAATGTGTTATTTGGGGCTGTTTTTCTTCAGCTGGAACTGGGGCCTTAGTCAAGGTAGAGGGAATTATGAACAGTTCCAAATACCAGTCAATATTGGCACAAATCCTTCAAGCTTCTGCTAGAAAGCTGAACATGACGAGGAACTTCATCTTTCAGCATGAACAACGTCCCAAAGCATACATCCAAATCAACAAAGGAATGGCTTCAGCAGAATGAAGATTAAAGTTTTGGAATGGCCCAGCCAGAGCCCAGACCTGAATCCAATCAAAAATCTGTGGGGTGGGGGCACGTGTCCAAGATGGCGACGGGACCAGGCCGCTTAATACAGAGCTCCTGACGACCTGCCCCGTATCCACCTCCATCTGCGAGAGAGCAGCCATCGGGACCCCCGTGATAGACCCTGCTGTGTCCTCCGGAAAGGACATTGAACGGGTCTGGACCTTGCTGCTCCGGATCCGCGGGCGGCAATCAAACGTGGCCGGTCACGGGCCGAACACGACGAGAGAGACAACCTGGCTAGAGGCCTACCCGGCGATGGAGGCCGGGTGCACGAGGAGAGCGGTGCGGTCACGAGGAGAGGGTTGCCGAACATACCTCTCTCCCTCCTTCACACGAGCTGGTGGTGGCTGCTGGAGTCCTCCGTCCACATCGGGAGTGTCGGCTTCTCCTCATCTGAGGCAGTGGAGTGGTGGGGCTTGTCGCGGCCCGGCGAAACCGCGGCCGCACATACACGTACAGGCCGGGTGAGTGAGACACCCGGCGTGAAAAAGGACCGCAAGTCCTAAGCTACTCCCCACATATATAAGTGGGCACTCTCTCCCTTATCCATCGGGGCACCCCCCCAAGAGCCCCAGAGAACGTCGGCCTATAGTAAGGGCCTACACACCTCCCACTAGGATCTGTCTGACAGCTAGGCCCGAAACAGCAGCCTCTCCCACAAAGGTTTAATAGGGAAAGCAGAGGAAATCCTTGCACTCATATGGACTCCCTAATATGCTTCAGAAGCCAGAGTCACATAGATTCACCACTGCTGATCTCTGCTCGCCCTCTCCAATCTGCTAAGGTTTATGCTGTGATCCCTGATTTGTTCAGAAATACTTCCTTTCTTCTTTCTTTCTCGTTAATTCTGGGGGTCCAGGCTGGCGCCCATTGAAAATGTCTACATAATATCGTGTTCCTTGTCACACAGAGGTGGGATTACGCATTCATAACACAGAGAGTAACCGGAAACATGGGGAAATCAAATAAGAAATCTACTATCCCTC